ACATGTGGGACTTTTACTGAAAAAACCAGTCTTCACTCATGGTCAACTTTACGTTGCAGCGTCAAGAGTCACAAATCGTAAAGGCTTGAAAATATTGATTTGTGATGAGGATGGCAAACAGATCGATCATACTACAAATGTTGTTTACAAAGAGGTCTTTCAGAATTTGTAGTATCACTTCATGTTGCAGCTTCATCAGTTTTACTGACAACTTCGCACTTTGAAGTGTTATATCTGTTTTTTATTGGATACATTTGCCTTTGCCAAAAAAATATATTACGTTGGCCCGTCTTTGTCGTTGTCTCAATCTCTCTTTAACTACGAACATTTAATATGGTACTTACCGTTTTATTTTGTTTTCAACTATTTTTGCCTTTTAATAATAAACTTCTTAATCACAAAATGGTAAATATTCATCCGCGCATCGCGCGGGTGAGAATCTAGTTAAATACAAATTTTTGATGAGTGAAGTGGTTTGAAATTTTGTGTATAAAAATCCATCAAATTTTTGTATAATGCTCATTGTTCTCGCGCCTCAACATTTACTTTGACATGTTCTACATATAGTTTCAAGAAAGAGTTCAATTAGAAAAATATTTCACCTTGGGAACACACTTTAAAAAACAAAAATCACTTTGGGAACACATTCAACGGGGCCATTTTTGAAAAAAAAAACAAAATTTATGAATTTTATAAAAATCATAGAATGTTTCAAACGAATTTAAAATTAACATGTTTGGTAATAAAAACATGAAAAATTAAAAAAAAAACGAAAATGCAAAAAAACATAAAATAAATTGTATAAGTTTGAAAAGATGTTGAATAATCAAGTAATTTCAAAGTTGAAAAAATGTTTATCTTGAAATTATTAAATTTTATAATTGCTTTTCTATTTTTACGAATGTAAACTATTTTCTTAGAGTTTTTCAAAATTAAACGCAATGTATAACATGTCAAAACACCAATTAAGTGAAATGATTGATCGATTTTTGAAGTAATGAGACCCACATTATACGTAGTACTTTTTGGTTTATGGATTTAAGTGGTTGCTTTAAATATTTTCCTTCTATTTGAAACTTATTCATATTCGCTACGGATGAGTGGATGACTGATTTTAAATAAGAAAAATTACAAAACTAAGGAATAAGAAAATGCTATAGAGACAAAGAAAAATATCACAACAACAAAAATATCACTTACATCCAAAGTTTTTGTGTTGAAGTTGTCAAGGCAAATAATAAGTTTTTCGTGTTGGAATGTGGACGCAAAAACTTTACAAAAAAATATAACCTTGCGAAAATCTTTTTGCCGACGCTAATTTAATGTGAATGTTTTGTTGACGTAAAAAACATTTTTTCTTGTAAAATATTAAAAAAGGCTAGGCAAAGTTTTCATATACTCCGTATATAAATAAGTCGGATAAAAAAATAAAATATGGGATTCTTATTATTGAAGAAAAGAGGGAGCTTACTGTTATTATTGTTAAGAATCTAAATAAACATTTTAAGCACTTCAATCTTTCCATATAATTTAAGTATTTCAAATGGTTAAATAAACTGGAATGTTTGAGATTAAAATTTCAACAAATAAACTGGAAGGTTACGTTTTTAACAAAAAAAAGCACAAAATATCCTTTAACAAATGTAAAACCCGGCCTTGTAAGAAATTTGTCATATGAACGGATAAGAACAGGGAGTCATTTGGTATTAATGTTGTTATATAAATATCATGAAATTTCATGTCAAAATAACGAATAATTTTCTCTCTCTAATATCTGCAAATTTAATCCAAACAATTTTTTTTTTACATATCAAACAATAAAAAAGTGTCTATATAACAATTTATACACAAATGTTACTCCTAATAGTGAACTAGTGAACTTTCCATCATTTGGAATGGAACCAAAGACTCACTATTTTTTTATTTGGGAATATGATGATATAGAGCAAACTGGATCACTAAACCACTTTGCACTTCTTTGTTATGAAACAATAGTCAGCCCATGCAATTTTCAACGCGAATTTCATTGCGAGTCATGGGTAAGACAACGTTGATGGATAGTGTACCCGGGGTAGCTTATCTGAGGGGTTATTACGAGAAATAACTTAGAGAGAAGTCAGAACAAACAAATAAGAGAGAGAGAGAGGGTCAGATATATTAATGAATTCTTATCTGGGATCCTTTACAAGGGGAAAAGGGCTGCTATTTATAGCAGCCATAAATGCTAAGCGCGTACACGTGTCGCTAATCTAGCGGCCGAGGGTCACCTCAATCGAGGTGGCACCGACATTCACATGTGCACCGCATTAAATGCGTTGGTTGGACGTGACGTCGCATTGAATGTGGTGGTTGTCTGCCTCTAAAAGGAATCTTCGCTGAGTGTTCTGTAGTCGAAGGTCATCCTGTGGCCGAAGGCTTTGTGTAGCTGAAGGCTACCCATGTGCCGAGGGCGTCTAGGAGCCGAGGGCGTCTAGGAGCCGAAGGCTCCTATTTTCCACCTTTTCTCCCAGTAACTTTGCATGCTCAAATCTAGTTGCCTTGTGGAAATTGGAGCCCTCGGCTTTAGGGCCGATTGCACCTATATGTGCCCCGTGGGCTTCTTAACACTTGGGCCGCTATATTTGGGCTGTGCGCGCTCATTGGGCTTGATGGGCCTGTGTAGGAGAAGTAGGAGTCTATGGGCCGGGGGTCCCTGGGCCATATACTCCATCAAACGTACATCCGCGCGACCCCCCTTATCCCAACATAGGCGAGAACCTTTGCGACACTGGTGTAATGTCGGCGAGTAGTTAATCACAAACGTTTAAGTTATTTACATTTTATTTCAAACCATTAATAAAGTGGTTGATTAAAAAGTAGACCCATCAAATTCGCTAGTAGGAATCCTGCTGTCAACCGGCTATTAGCTAGCAAACAACTGCTATAATATTAAACACGACCATTGAAATTTGTAGCCTTCCATTTTTTGTGATAAAGCCAAAGTAAAAGGACTGAAAATGTCAATTTATCGGAATATGAAATGTCGGGAATTTTAAAGTCAAGAATAAATATATCTCATTCACAAAAAATTGACCAATTTGTCACTGATACTTCTTTTTACCAATTTGACTCAAGTTTTTTTTTTTCAATTTGGCAATTTGGCCCAATATAGGGCCAGGGCTTGTAGTAGTGAAGTTAAAGTCAATCGAATGTGGGGAAATGGAATAAACTGTGTAGAAAAAGGTTGAATCTTGTGGATTTAAAGCAATTATATTTAGAGCCCGTTTGGTAACACGAAAATCAGCTGATTCGGTTGATTCTGTTGAAATTTATGAAGTTCTGGCTGAAGAGGCTGTCTTTGTTGATTTTGTTGATTTAAGAAGAAAATGTTTTTAAAAATATATTTTATTAATAAAATAAAGAAAAAATCATATGTAAAATAACTAAAATGATCATCTACAGTACCTTCAGCCAATACAACCAGAAAAGTAACTCCAACCTTACTTTCTCTTATTATTACACAATTCAGCACACAAAAACAAAAGTTACGTGTTTGGCGAAAATGTTGGCTGATAAGCCTCACAAGCCGAAAAACAGTGTTACCAAACGGCCTTTTAAAGACAAGGAGCTTATTTAAATGAAAACAAGTAAAAATGTACAAAAAGCTAAAATAATCATTTCCATTAAACTCAGGAATTGATTTATGGAACCTCATATTAATAGCTAATATTAATTAGGAATCTTCCTGTATTTTGGAAACTCATTATTATTATAAATACATCTCATTAGGGCAACCTGTGTCAATTATTCCCATGGTATCAAGAGCCTAACCAAAATTAAACCTCAATTTTTTTCCCACTGCTCTAATGTCTGACGCCGCCTTCTCTAGCGTCGATACTCCCATCTCCACTGCCGGTCCTTCGACCAATGTGGGAGTAGTTTTGGGTGAAGTTGGTGTGGACATTGGGCTAGGCAGATTGTGGGTAGACGAAGAAGTAGCACGACTTTGGTTTGGAAGTGAGGTGTTGGCTGGAGAAGAGAGTGGAGGAATTATAGGAGATGTGTTCTTGGGCATGGTCAAAACAGGAGCTGGAGGAAGAGTATTGGGCAGACAAAAATCAGATGATGGAGTTACAGAAGGATCAGAAACATCAGACTCGAGAGGAGTACTGCTAAGAGTAGTAAACGGAAAATTGTCTTCTATAAAACGAACATGACGACTAATATAAATTCGACCAGACCTAGACTCAAGACAACGATATCCCTTATACCCAGATGCATAGCCAATAAAAACATAGTGAACAGAACGTGCTGAGAGCTTATTAGAAGAAGTGGCAGAAATATTCGGAAAACAGGAGCAACCAAACACACGAAAAAAGAGTAGTCTGAGGTTTTATGAAAAAGTTTTGCGTATGGTGATACACCGAAAAGAAGAGGAGTAGGTAATCGGTTAATAATATATGCAGCAGTGAGAAGTGCATCAACCCAAAAAGTGCTAGGAACAGAGGCTTCAAGAAGCATAGTCCGAGTTAATTCAAGTAAATGTTTATGTTTCCTTTCAGCAACCCCATTTTGTTGAGGAGTGTCAGGACAAGACTTGTGAAAATAAATTCCATGAGTATTAAAAAATTGCTGCATATTAGAATTAACAAATTCACCCCCTCCATCACTTTGAAATTTTTTAATTCTAGTAGTAAAAAGATTTTCAACTAGAGCCTTAAAATTTTTAAAGTGAGTAAAAATTTCATCTTTTCGATGCATTGGATATAGCCAAGTAAAGCGATAAAAATCATCTATAAACCACACATAATATTTAAATACTAAATTGGATAAAACAGGAGATTGCCAAACATCAGAATGAATAAGTTGAATTGGTTCAGAACAGGAATGACTAGCATCTGAGAAAGGTAAACGTTGTGATTTGCCTAAACGGCAAGAAATACAATTATGAGAAAAACGAGAGCTACTACAAATGTGTTTTTGCTTATTTAAAGAATGTAAAATAGAGTCGCCACAATGGCCTAGTCTATGATACCACAAGACGCCTGGAACAGACACGGACGAGAGAGCAAGTGAAGATGGAGAACTGAGGCTGACAGGGTAAAGATGACCTTTATTGGGTGCTTGAAGAAGGACCGCTCCCGAAATTTTGTGCCTAACAAAAAAAGAATTTATATCAAAAATTACAACACAGTTGTTATTAGCGCAAAATTTCTGAATAGATAATAAATTAAATTTCAGTTGAGGTACATGATAAACAGATTTTAAAACAAGAGGGCGACTAGAGGAAGATAATGGAATATCACCAATATTAGCTATAGGTAATTGAGAACCATTAGCAACATTAACAGAATGTGATCCAGTATAAGGAAATTTATTTACTAAAATACCTTCTAATGGAGTCATATGGGCAGAAGCATCGGAATCCGGGAACCATAAAGACGCATTAGCATCACTATTGGAGGTCATCAATGCATGGGCAGAGTTTTGACTAAACTGGGACAGACAATGCATATCAGAATGACCTGTGGAGAAACATATCTGACAAACAACAAGCGGTGGGACAGAACCAAAAATACCCTCAGATGATGAAAAGCCTGCAGTGCTAGAGTTAGTACCATAAATAAAATAGGGATTAGTATTTAAAGTGGACAAAGCAGATATACTAGCAGAACCTGAAGTGCCCGAAGAAGATGCAGAGTGAGGCAGACCGGGCTGGACCGGCGGACGAATCTGCTGCTGGCCTGCCTGGACCGGCAGTGCTGGACCGAACTGCTGGCCGAACTGCTGCAGCTGGCCGGCCTGATGCTGTGGGACCTGGTACTGTTGGCCGAACTGCTGGCCATAATTATGGCGTCCGCAACCTCTGCCTCGGCCGCGACCTCCCCTGCCGCGGCCTCCCCGACCTCGTGGAGCATACATCTTCTGGACCCAAGCCACGAAGAATACTCAAGCAACTCTTTGGCCGAAACTGGTAACGTGGGCTTGTAACTTTGTGGGGCATTAAGATTCAGTGTTTACAAATCATGTTAATATAATTGACAAAAAGGAAAATGTTCGCGAAATGGACACATGATATTGTAATGAAAAGTATATTAAAAGAGATCTTTTTTCAAATTGTTCAAACCATAATTTAAGATCATAATGTAGCAAGCTCACAAATGCTATTTAAGATCACATTTTTTTCAAAGAAATAATGAAGATAACAATAGAATACATAGATTCATAATAGATCAGACGGACATTAAAATGCATATAATATTAAACTAATATTCAACAAACCGTAAACAATGTATGTATAGCTATACCTTACACAAACCTCAATCATTTCTTTTTTATAATTTATACTCAATATAAAATTGACAAGATCCAATGAAATGAGAATAATATAAAATAAAATTAGACTTAAATAAACTATACCGGGTCACTCCAATCTTGAAGCCTATTGATTTGGACTAGAATATTTAAATCTAGTTGAGAGTAGTGCAATATATCGAAGCCATTCCTGATTTAATATGAGTAGGTGTCATTGACTCATTGTGTTTTTTATGGATTTCAAATTATAGTGCTCTATATTTTTCATTTATAGTCATTTAAATGGGAGAATCATAAGTTCATAACAGTACTATACGGTTGGCGCATTGTTGTTTGGTGTTCACTTACATAGTTATTATACATGGATTTGAAAGAAATAATCTTAATTTTTTTTTACTAGCGTTAAATTCACAACTCTTCAATAAATGAGTATATTTATTGACAACATTATTAATTAGTAATAAAATAACTATATACAATAAAATTAATCACTACATCAATCGCATTTGATATAACAGTCGTAGTGATTCAAACCATAGTGACCGTGACCACAACATAAAATATGACCCCAACAATAAACAAATTATGACCCCAACAATTTAGGCACGCCCAAAAGTATCAATTCAAATTTAAAGAGAAAATGCCAAGTATGATAGAGTTTTAGGATGTTTATAATAAATAAATTTGTTATTTAATCTATTTAAGTCTAGTTATTAATCTCATGAATATTTCTTGTGTGTATATTCTAATCACTAAAGTCTGGTCTAATAGACATGATTTAGTCTATATGGTATGATTTAATGTAATATAATCTGAGCTCATTTAGTTTGATCTATTTAAATTTGGTCTAGTTCAATCTAAAGGGGTCTGCAACCAGCTCTATTACAAACATAATGTATTAATATCATAGTTTAGTTTAGATGTTTTTAATTTGACATGAATATCAATGTGATATGATATTAATGGTTTGATATAATATCTGAGTATGATTTTTGAAGTCTGATCAGGGCTAACTTGGTCAGAACTAATATGATATGGTAAATGTGTGTTATACTAATTGTTTCAGTCCCTGATCAGATCAGACCATACCAGTTCAGACCAGACCAGATGTGAATAGTTATAAAAATACAAAAAGATCAATCATTATCAGATCAGACCAGTTCAAACCAGATCAGCAAATTACGGTCCAAGTAAAAACATCCTTAAATCTGACATAATCTAATCTTCTTTTTTTGAATGAAAACTAGCTAAATTAAAAACATCATTTAACCAAAAACATCCTTAAATATGAATAAACTTTATTTTATTTACCCTCACCCTCAATTAAATTAGCATGTCATTTCCTCGAGGATGGGCACATCCATTTTATAAATGATGAATTCATAAATAGTACGGGCAAACTTTCATTTCTTTCTCCGTGTCCCTCTGAGCACCAGTCCCATCAATTCTCTGTCTCCACAATCTCTGAACTCCTCCAGGACCTCAATAATATTAGCAATTAATTTTATTGGTATATTATTATTATCATTAAGAAATCTGATGAGACTAGGTGAACAGAATTTGGTTCTAAGAATTTAGAAATCTCTCCGAAAATCTTTGAGGTAAAGAACTATTGCTTTGGATAAAATACGTGTAATGCCAGCAACGGATGAAAGCTGAGATCTTTATGCGTTTTTTTTCTTTTTCTCATTTTCTTTATTGCTAGTTTTAGTTCTTGGGCGTTTTTATTTATTCTTCGTGCAAATCTAGATTTTGGGTTGCCGTTACAATTTTTGTTTTCCTTCATACGTTCTTCGTCTGTATTTTTTTTTTTTAATTTCAACAGAAAACTGATAAGTTTGAGGTTTTAGTGTCTGCCTTGCAGGTATCTTGGGATTTTTCGGGGTTTATGTTATTTTACAGTTTTTGGGTATTATCAAGATTTAGGCAATTGTATTGATCATTTTTTTGTGATATTTTTCTCTGCAATTTAGTCCAAAAAATGTGGAATTAAGTGAGTGACTGTTTTCTTTGGAGTTTTATGGTTTTTATTGGCGTTTCCTATGACTTTCTAGATTTGGGACTGTACGAGCAGATCTTGGAGATTTTCTTGTTAAATTTCTTTCTTATTTTTCAGATTCAGTGAAATTTGACTTTCATATTTTCCTGTGAGGGGAAAAAATATGGTTCTGTGTCATGTGCACCCAACAGAGGAGTTTTGATGGCTAGTGCCTAATCACCTATTTTCACTTTATATTTTTGTTCAAAAGGTTACCTTTTTCTTTCTGCTCTGTGTTGGACTCCACTTCAATTCTTTTTAATGTGGTTTCACATGTAAAGATTTGCTTTTTTGTTCAAATCGTAGATTCTAACTGTGCTAATCTTGGCCTATGAGTGCTGATTCTGATCTTTACGCTATTAATTGACTTTGTGCATGCATATTTATTTGTAGGAGATAAAGATCAAAGATACAGGCTCAGTTTGTGAATATGATGATGTTTGAGGAGATGGGGTTCTGTGGGGATCTCGATTTCTTCCCGACTCCAGTGAAGGCACCAGTTGCTCAGCCAAACGGATCCTTAGAGCCGGTTGTCGAGGACGATTACAGTGATGAAGAGATTGATGTGGATGAGCTGGAGAGGAGGATGTGGCGCGACAAGATGAAACTCAAGAGGCTGAAAGAGATGAACAAGAACAACGAAGGTGGCGGTGGCGGGGTAGTGGACACTGTGAAGAACCGCCAGTCCCAAGAACAGGCGAGGAGGAAAAAGATGTCTCGGGCCCAGGACGGGATCTTGAAGTACATGCTGAAGATGATGGAAGTGTGTAAAGCTCAAGGATTTGTCTATGGGATAATCCCGGAGAAAGGGAAGCCAGTGAGTGGTGCCTCTGACAATCTCCGGGAATGGTGGAAGGATAAGGTGAGGTTTGACCGTAACGGTCCAGCTGCTATAGCGAAGTATCAAGCCGAAAATGCAATCCCCGGTCAGACCGAGGGGATTGAACCGGTTGGTCCGACACCTCACACGCTACAGGAGCTGCAGGACACCACACTCGGTTCGCTGTTATCAGCTTTGATGCAGCATTGTGAGCCCCCACAAAGGCGGTTTCCCTTGGAGAAGGGTGTCCCACCTCCGTGGTGGCCCACGGGGAATGAGGACTGGTGGCCTCAATTAGGTTTGCATAAAGAGAATGGTCCCCCACCTTACAAGAAGCCTCATGATCTGAAGAAGGCTTGGAAGGTTGGTGTTCTAACTGCCGTGATCAAACATATGCACCCCGACATTGCCAAGATCCGGAAGCTCGTCCGCCAGTCCAAGTGCTTGCAAGACAAAATGACTGCCAAGGAAAGTGCCACTTGGCTTTCCATTATTAACCAAGAGGAGTCCTTGGCCCGTGAGCTCTATCCTGACCGCTGCCCGCCCTTGTTGTCTTCACCGGGCAGTGGGGCGTTCACCTTGACCGACACTGGCGAGTACGATGTTGTCGATGACCAATCGAACATGGAGAATTTCCAAGACCAGAAACCAAATAATCTCCATGGTTTCTTAGATTTCTCAAGAAAGAGGAAGGCGGGCAATGACCCGCCTACCCTTATGGATCAAAACATCTATACGTGTGATGCCCTTCTCTGTCCCCGTAGCGAGATCCATCTCGGGTTTCCGGAGAGATCTGCCAGAGACAACCATCAACTATCTTGCCCTTTCCATTCTGCTCAATTCGGGGTGCCACAGTTCCATATTAACCAACAAGTCAAGCCTGGACCTGTTTACTCTCAACAGTTTGTTGAACCTAAAATCCCTGATCTTTCGGGTCTTGGTGTTCCTGAAGACGGGCAAAGGATGATCACCGATCTTATGTCATTTTATGACACAAACATTCAAGCTAAAGAGCAGCAAACTATTGAGCAAGCTGACAACAAGTTCCTCCAAAACCAAGGAGCCAATATGAAGGGAATGATGTATGAGGACTGTAACCGTCCAGACCAGATGGTTTCAACGGGTGATCGGCTTAACCATTGCGGTAAGTCTTTGAATGCTCCACCTGTTGGTTCATTCTTTAATAACAGCTGCCCAAATGAGACATTCCCATTCATGTTTGGCTCTCTATTCAATCCACAAGCCACCGACTATGCGGAAGCTTTACCCGGGATTGCTCGGGATGCCATGTTACCGAAGAAGGATGTCCCTATTTGGTATTAGCATATAAAGTCTGCAGCGCGCATGTGATTATATATTATATTTGGATCAATTTATTCATCATATTGTTGTCTCTGCCATGTTGTTGTACTGGTGAAACTTGAAAGGGCTATGATGCAAAAGTATTAGTACCATCTGTGCTCAGTACCAGTATCGTGTCTTTTGTTATGGCTATATGGATTTGGCCGGATGGTGCAGCCTTTGTTGTTTTATTGATGCAAATTATTATTAGTCCATTTTCTGGAATGGATGACAAATAATAATGCTTTGATATAAATTAAGTTTGTGCTGAGTTTTCAAATGGTGGTAGCATGTTTTGTTAGCAACTTATAATCCTTGCCTTTTTGCTAGTA